GAGGCCCCGGGTGACGTCTCGGCCTCGTGGGACGGAGGCACCCTCGGGCGCGTGGCTGGGCGCGTGGCTGGGCCCGTGGCTGGACGCGTGGCTGGCGCGTGGCCTGCCTCACGGAAGACGGCTGTCCCTGCAGTCGCAGCTGTGGCCCGTCTGTCGCCCGGTCACCGAGCAGGGAGAGACGGCCGCTTGGCAGGGCGCCCGGTCCTGCACACTTGGACCCAGCACTCGGGGCCAGTGATCGCCATCCTGGGGGCTTCATCGCAGGCTGGGCCCTCCCTACGCCCGTCTCTCCCTGGAGCTGGCACGGGGGCAGAGCCACCTCGGACGCAGAACGCTCACGGCTGCCGGGAGACAGCCCCGAAGGCTCCCCAGAGCGGGCGGCACAGGCTGTCCCAGTGGGGAGCACGCGCCGGGCGGGGTCCTGCCGGGGCAGCCGGGCGCGTGGGCTCGGAGGCGGCAGGCGTGCTGTGGGTGCCAGTGAGCGGCCGGCTGGGCACTTACTGACTTGTTCATTCAACAGCTTCTCAGAGAATATCTCGCCGTGCGCAGCACCCGCCAAGACCCTCGGCGCAGCGCTCCTTAGGTCACCTCAAGCCCCCAGGCGGGGCGTGAAGAGTCCTCACGGAGCTCACACGCGCACCCCCAACCCCAGAGCTAACGCTTAGGGACCCTCTTGGTACCCAAACTCAGTGCCAGACTAGGTTTAACCCTGGCCCCAGCCGTCCCCCACCGCCCGCCTCCTCCTCGGCTCCGCAGCCCGAGGAAGCCGAGGCTTCCGGAGCGGCGCCGGCAACGCAGGGCGGCGGGGTGGGCCTGGGTGCAGAGGACAGTCGCGGGCCCTGAGCCTGGCCGCTGCAGCGGAGCGAGGACGCCAGCGGGCACTGGGGCGCTGCGCCAGGAGGCGGGCCTGGCCCTGGGGTGCTGGCTCGGCTCTGCAGAGCAGGTGCCGACCTGGCTCTGACCCTGCCTTTAGGGACTCGGGTGGGGTCACGGAGGGCTTCCTGGGGCAGGGTGCAGGGTGTGGCCCCGGAGCGAGCGGGCGGCCAGCAGCTGCCTGCAGGCCTCGCCCTGGGTCCTCGGCGGCGGCCCCCGGCGGGCTTTCCCGAGAGGAAGGGTCCGCTCCCTGAGAATCGCGTCGGGTCCATTTCTCTTGAGCGGAGTGGGTTTCTTGGGGGAGGAGGCATCGCCGCTGAAGGGCCCCTGTGGTCACCGCGTGGCTGGGGGCTGCGGGAAGCCCAGAGTGTCCGGGAGAGCCAGGGCCGTGGCCTCAGAGCGCCCTGTTGGGGCAGCCCTGCGCCCCCCGGTGTGTCCACGGGCAGCCGGTGCCCTCGCCCGTGGGCAGGGAGGTGGCAGTGACCCCCGCTGGGAGGCGGCCTGGCCGCTGCCCCACCTGGTGCCCTCCCTGGAGGTGCTGCGCCTGGCCGGGGGCCTCGCCCCAGGCGCTCACGCCAGGCGGGGTGGTGGCCGGCCTCTGCCCCGTCCCTGTCCCTGCCCGGCCCGGCGGCCGCCCCGGGCAGCAGCTGGAAGGCCAGGCCCCGGGGTGGACCCACCGTGCAGAGGCGGGCACCGAGGCCAGGGCCCTCCGGGGGGAGGACCGTCCCTGGGAAGCCGGGGCCCACCCCGCCCCAGGCCCAGCCTGCTCGGTGTGGGCGACATCTCGGGGCAGGGGGCAGAGCTCAGGCCTCGGAAGGCCCAGGCGGTTTGGGGCCCCCAGGGCCTCAGGCTGCACGCAGCAGGGGTACCGCGGGGGGCTCGCGGGACGGGCGGGTCGGAGCCGGGCGCGGCCCCTTCCTCTGTCCTCCGCTCGAGGCCTCCGGCGGCAGCCAGGCCGACGTGGGCTGAGTCCG